GAAGTGAGGATGGCAAGACTTCGTCTCATGTACTTTGAACATGTTCTCAGAAGGGATCATTCCCTGGAGAAGGACATCATGCTTGGTAAAACAGAGGGTCAGTGAAAAAGAGGAAGACGCTTGAGGAGATGGATTAACACAGTGGCTGCAAAAAAGGGCTTAAACATGGCAATGATCGTAAGGATGACGCAGGACCTGGGCAGTGTTTCTTTCTGTTGTACACAGTGTTGCTATGAGTCGGAACTGACTTGAAGGCATCTGACGACAACAACAAGTGAGTTCCCAAGGAGCCCTGGTGGCACAACCGTTAAGTGCTCAGCTGGTAACTTAAAGGTTGGTGGTTCGAACCCACTCAGCCCCACCACAGGAGAAAGACCTGGTGATCTGCTTCTGTAAAGATTACAGCCAGGAAAATCCTATGGAGCAGTACTACTCTGTCACATAGGATCATTATGAGTGGAAATCAACTCATTGTCACCCAACAACAAAAGTCAGTACCTACCTGCCTCCCAGAGGGAACCACTGTCTGATCTCTATCACCTTGGATTAGTTTTGCCTGTACTTGAACTTCATATAAATGAAATTATGCAGTAGGTACTCTTTTTGCATCTGGTTTTTTTTATTCAGCATAATGCTGGTGTGATTCGTTGATGTGCTTGCTTGTAGCAGTAGCTTGTCCTTTGTATTGGTGTATAGTGTTCCATTATGTGTTTATCCATTCTCCTGTCGAGGACATTTGGTTTGTTTCCAGTGTTTGGCTATTGTGAATAATGCTGCTATGAACTTTCTTGCCTATGAATTTTGGTGGACATGTGTTTTCATTTCTCTTGGGTAAATGTTGTTGTTGTTGGGTGTTGCCGAGTCAATTCTGACTCGTGGTGACCCTATGTGACACAATAGAACCGCCCCATAGAGTTTTCTAGACTGTAATCTTTATAGAAGCAGATAACCAGGTCTTTCTCCTCTGGAGCCACAAGGTGTGTTTGAACCGCCAACCTTTCGGTAGTGGCTGAGCCCGTAAGTGTTGTGCCACCAGGCTCCTTCCTAGGTATTGTCCTAATTATCTAATGCTGGTATAACAGAAATACCGCAAGTGGGTGTCTATAACTAACAGAAATTTATTTTCTCACACTTTAGGAGGCTATAAGTCCAAATTCTGGGTGGTGGCTCTATGGGAAGGCTTTCTCTCTTTGTTGGCTCTGGGGGAAAGTCCTTATTTCTTGTTGGTGATCTTCAAGTGGTATGGCATCTATCTTCTCCCATCTCTGCTTGCTCTATAGGGATTAGGTTTTACAACACATATTTTTGGGTAACACAATTCAATTTCTAACAGGTATATATTGGAGTGGAATTTCTGGATCACAGCATAGACCTATATTTAGCTTTAGTAGATACTGCCAACAGTTTTCCAAAGTGGATCCCCACCAGCAATGTAAGAGAGTTCCAGTTGTTCCACATCTTCGTCACCACTTGATGTTGTCAGTCTTTTTAATTTAAGCTATTCAGATGGGTGGTGAGATTCAGCTTTGGGAGTCCTTGACTACCACATTGTACCACCACCCTTCTTGTCCACCATCCCCCAGGCCTTCCCAAGATGGAGGTGTGTCAGGAATACTATGGACTTCCTCCACCCCCGGGAGCTTTTGGACCTTTTCTACGGCTCAACTCTGGAGACATCGTGGAGCTCACCAAGGCCGAGGCTGAACAGAATTGGTGGGAGGTACAGGCGGGGGGCTGTGGGGTGACGGGGCAGGACCCAGGTATGGGGCTGTGGGATAAAGGGGACCCAAGTGTGGGGCTGTGGGATAGAGGGGACCCAGGCGTGGGGCTGTGAGAGTGATGGGGTGGGATCCAGGTGTGGGGCCATGGGAACAGGTAGCTTTGGGGAATGGGGTCATGGACCCACTGGGCTCTGGCAAAGAAGGGCTCTGTGGAAGTGGCATCTGGGGAGGGCTGACATTGACTGGGATCTGGGCCTGGCCTGACCTTTCTGAACTGGCCGTCTTCCCAGGAAGATGAAACTGGTTGGCACCTCTCTGGGCCATTCAGGCTATAGAGGGATATGTGGACACACACCTGCATACATGTACACCCACAGATGCACACACATACACACATGTACGCACAAAACACATGTACTTGCACAATAATACACACATGCAAAAGTCCTCTTTAAAGTGTTAAAAAGCAAAGATGTCACTTTGAGGACTAAGGTGCGCCTGACCAAGCCATGATGTTTTCAGTCGCCTCATGTGCATGTGAAAGCTGGACAATGAGTAAGGAAGACCGCAGATTTGAAGTCTCTGAGTTATGGTGTTGGTGAAGAATATTGAATATACCGTGGACTTCCAGAAGAACAAACAAATCTGTCCTGGAAGTACAGTCAGAATGCTCCTTAGAAGTGGGGATGGCAAGACTTCATCTTATGTACTTTGGACATGTTATCAGGAGGGATCAGTACCTGGAGAAGGACATCATGATGGGTAAAGTAGAGGGTCAGCAAAAAAGAGGAAGACCCTCATGGAGATGGATTGACACAGTGGCTGCAACAATGGGCTCAAGCATAGCAACAATTGTGAGGATGGCGCAGGACCAGGCGGTGTTTTGTTCTTTTGTACGTGGGGTCGTTATGAGTTGGAACCAACTGGATGGCACCTAAGAACAATGACAGACTCACATACACACATGCACACACATGTATATCCACAGATGTACACACACATACACAGCACACTTCACACATACACACACGTACCCACATGCACATACACATATGTACTTGCACACATACACACATACGCAGACACACACATGGATGCCTGTGACCTCTCTGTCCCTGTTTTTCTCTTTTGGGTTTTTAGGGCAGGAATACGGCGACCAACGAAGTTGGCTGGTTTCCCTGTAACAGGGTCAAGCCCTACGTCCATGTGAGTGCCTCAAGTCTGGAGGGAGAGAGGGCAGGGGGCGCAGATGGGCCCTGGGTGGCAGGCTGCCTTGGGAAGACACCTCTGGACATGGGGAGGGAACTTCTCGTCCATGGTTGGTCATTCCCACTCTCTCTGCCAACGGCCTAGACTGGGGTCACCCTGTGGCCCATGGTCAACCATTTCCTCCTTGATTGTTCCTGGCACCCTCTCCCTCCCCGTGGGGCTCTCCCACTTGACCCCTCACCCTACTTGTCCTTGCTGTCCACCTTGCAGCCTGTCTCAGCCCCACATTCTTTCTCCCGTGGGCTTAACACGGACCGGGTCTTCTCTCCTTCATCATTTAGTTAATAGGCTTCAGCTCAAGATGCCTTCTTTCCCCATGGAAGCCTCCCTTGATCTCCTGGTGATAGATTTTCATACCATGCTTCACTCATTCTTTCAGCAACTATTGATTGAGTACCTACCCCATGTTGAAAGGATTCTCTGGGTGGTGCATACAGTTAAGCACTCGGCTACTAACTGAAAGATGGACAGTTTGAACCCATCCAGAGGTGCCTCAGAAGACAGGCCTGATGATCTGCTTCGGAGAGATCACAGCCTTGGAAACCCTACGGAGCACAGTTCTACTTTGTGCTCATGAGGTTTGCCATGAGTTAGAACCTACTCCATGGCAAGGGGTTTGTTTTTCTGGGCTATGCACTAGGCCAGTCTCTCCCACTAGATTCTGGAACTGCATCCCCCGTAAATACTACAATGCCTGGCACATGGTAGGCACTCAATAAATGCTAGTAGGGAGTAAGTGAATGAGTGAATGAATGAATGATTGTTGATCCAGCACATGGCACATAGTAGGCACTCAGTAAATGCTAATGGAGTGGATAAATGATTGAATGATTGCTGATCCAAGGCATGGCACATGGTAAAACCCAAAAAAAACAAAGCCTGTTGCCGTTGAGTCGATTCCGACTCATACAGACCCTATAGGACACGGTAGAACTGCCCCATAGGGTTTCCGAGGAGCAGCTGGTGGATTTGAACTGCCAACCTTTTGGTTAGCAGTCGCGCTCTTAATCACTGTGCCACCAGGGCTGCATATAGTAGCCACTCAATAAATGCTAGTGGAGTGGATGAATGAATGAATGAATGATTGTCCATCGAACCACATGGCACATGGTAGGTACTCAGTAAATGCTAGTGAATGAGTGAATGAATGCCTGCAGCCTGTGGCCAAGCTGGGGTCTTTGCCCTGAGTCTGGGTTTCTGTCTGTGTCCCACAGGGCCCCCCTCAGGACCTGTCTGTTCATCTCTGGTGAGTAGAGTGAAGTCCTTCCTTTTATTCAACTTAGGGGCCTTCTAGGGTGGGGACCCAGGCTGGCCATGGGAGGGACCTCCAGGTCAATCAGTCATTCATTCTTCAAACCCTGAGCTTTGCCTGCTGGGTCTAGCCCTGGGCTGGGCAGTGCTGGGGGGCAGACAGGGGAGGGTTCCTTACTTAGGTTATTATGGTCTCGGGTAAAAATGTCTGCAATGATGGTAATGATGATGAAGGTGGTGATGGTAATGGCAGCCCCCATTTTTCTGAACACCTTCTGCGTGTAAAGGGTGGAGGTTTAGAGTGTGGCTGCTGGAGCCCACTGACCTGGGTTCAAATCCTGACTCCAGCATTTCCCAGCTGTGTGACCTTGGGCCAGTAACTTAACCTCTCAGTGCTTCAGTTTTCCTCGCTGGAAAATAGGTTAATAACAGTATCTATTCATAGGCTTGTTATGAGGCTTACTACCTGGTAAGTGCTTAGCCCAGTGCCTGGTATACAGTAAGCACTTTATATAGCGTTGGCTGTTGTTACGACCACATTTCGTTAATTCTAAAATGCCTGTTTTTTTCTTCTTCTTTACATTTTAACATCTCTGACATTGAGGTGGTCTTACAGTCAATGAAGTCTCAGCCTTGTGCTCAATTTTATTGGTAGAAATCTTTCTTTGTTGTTCTTGTTGTTGGATGCTGTTGAGGTGCTTCTGAGTCATAGTGACTCTATGTGACAGAGTAGAACTGCTCTATAGGGTTTCCTAGGCTGTAATCACCCAGCGGTGCTGAGGAAGAAACGCATGATGATCTGCTTTCATAAAGATTACAGCCAAGAAAACTCTATGGAACATGGTTCTATTCTGTAACACATGGGGTCACCATGAATTGGAATTGCCTCAATGGCAACGGGGCTTTTTTTTTTTTTTAAATCAGTGCTTTAATGAGCATGTTTAATCCTGACAACAACCCCTTAAATAGTCCAAGTAGTCTTAGTCCATTTTTGCAGAGGAGGAAACCGAGGCTCAGAGAGGGAAAGTGACTTAGTCAATGTAACACAGTGAGGAAGTGGCAGAGATGGGATTTAAACTCAAGTCTCTTTGGATCCAAAGTCTGTACTTTACTGACTATTACTGCCAAGTACTACAGGCATAGTAATTCTCCCATGTTGTGAGTACTAACCCTGTACTAGGTGCTTTGACAGCGTTCTTGCCAGTTGTCAAAAATGTCTCTCTGTGGTAGGAATTCTTATCTTCCTCTTTTTAGAGGAAGAAATTGGGGCTTGGAGTGAGTGGCAAAATCGGTTCCCAAGATCATAGAGCAAGCAAGTGGCAAAGCCAGGATTCAAACCATGGTTTCTTTTTCCTTTTGATTTTTTTTTAATTGTGGTAAAAAAAATACATAACAAAACATTTGCCAATTCAACAATTTTTACATATGTAAATTCAGTGACATTGATTACATTCTTAATGTTGTGTGCAATGATTATCCTTATTCTTTTCCAAATTTTTCCATAAACCATGGAATAAATCTGCTTGCCAAGATGTGGTCACCAGGGTTGGGACTGGGGTGAGGAGAGTGAGGCGTCCAGTTTCGGCACAAAATTTCAGGTGATGTCATCAAGATAAATAGTATTTTAATGTGATATTAAAAAAAACCTCAAAAACGAGGTCAAAGAAATCCACGATGAACAAAATGTCAAAATTGTAAAGAAAGACAGAATCTGTCTCCACATTTTCCCAACTTAGCTTACTCGTCTCACCTTACTCTCAACCCCGTGGGTTCTTTCTTGGACTTTTTTGCATGCATTTTTTTTTAAACTGTTGTCAAATTCACATAACATAAATCAATCATTTTGAAGTGTACAATTCAGCGGTACTTAGTATGTTCACAATGCTGTGCAGCCATCACCACTATCTAGTTCTAGAATATTCTCATTACTCCAAAAGGAGACGCAATTTCGTTAACCAGTCACTTCCTATTCCCTCCTCCCACCAATCCCTAGGCAACTACTCATCTACTTTCCGTCTCTGTGGATTTGCCTGTTTTGGACATGTCATATAAATGGAGTCATACAATACCTAACCTCTGTGTCTACTTTCACATAAGCATAATGTTTCTAAGCGTCATCCATATGGTAACTTGTATCAGTACTTTGTTCTTTTCTATGGCTTATTTTGTGGAGAAACTGGCAGCCTCGCGTATTGGTGATGGGAATGTAAAATGGTGCAGCCACTGTGGAAAACAGCTTGGTGGTTCCTCAAAAAGTTGACCAAAGAACCACCATACGACCCAGCAATCCCAATCCTAGGTATATGCCCAGAAGAAGTAAAGGAAGCAATGCAAACAGAAACCTGTACACCAGTGTTCATTACAGCAGTTTTCTCAGTAGCCTAAAGGTAGAAACAACCGAAATGTCCATCAACAGATGAATGGATAAACACAATGTGGTACTTGCATACAATAGAATATTATTCGGCCATAAAGAGAAATCAAGTCCTTATGCATGCCACAACATGGACAAACCTCAAGAACGTCGTGCTGAGCAAAATAAGTCAGTCACAAAAGGACAAATACTGTATTATCTCACTTATATGAAATAAATATAGAGAAACTCAAGATTATTAGTGGTTTCCAGGGGTGGGAGAGAGGGGGCGAGGGAGAGTTTTTGCTTAGGGGGTATTGAGTTTATGTTAATGGTGGTGGAATAATTTTAAAAAGGGTAGCAAGAATAGTTGGACAACTTGAAGAATGTAATCAATGCCACTGAATTGCCCATGTAGAAACTGTTGAATTTGCGTACTTTTTTTCTGTATATTTTTACCACAAGACCAGAATAGATTAAAAAAAATACTGTTGATCTTGGTTGCTGACTCTTTTTTTGGCACCTCCTTACATTTTGTGCCCAAGGCGAATGCCTCATTTGCCTTGCCCTAGTCCTGTCCTGGAGCCCTACTGGCACAGTGTTTAAGAGCTCAGCTGCTAACCAAAAGGTCGGCAGTTCAAATTCACCAGCCACTCTTTGGAAACCCTGTGGGGAAGTCCTATTCTGTCCTATAGGGTTACTATAATTCGGAATCGACTCAATGGCAACAGTTTGGAGTCCTGTCCTGGCGACCACAGAGATGGGCATACAGTGGGCACTCAGTAAATGCTCATCGAGGCAATGGCCAAATCCCAGAGACCCCGCCAGATCTGAAGAACTTAGCTCTCCCCTGCAATCTGTGTGTCAAATCTTGGATGTGATTTACAGAAGTCTGATGGCCACTGTGTCTTAGTCTGGGTTCTCCAGAAGAGCAAAACAAATGAGATGTGTATATAAATATGTACAGAGAGATTTACTTCAATGAAATGTCTCAGGCAATTGCAGGGGCTGGCAAGTCCAAAATCTGTGGGTCAGGCGGCAGGTTGGAGACTTCTGCTAGCTCATGGGATTGCAGAGGCTGACGAATCGAAAGTTTGCAGGTCAGGCAGCAGGTCAGAGACTTCTGCAGGCTTACGTCCCAAGACCGGAGGTCAGGTAACAAGAAGAGTGCAGGGTCGAGAGAGAGGGAGCTTTGCCAGACCATCCATTTATATACTGGAGGCAGCCCACCACCCTCCTCCCCAAGGAAACTCCTTTCAACTGATTGGCTGCTAACATCAGATCACATCATGGAAGGTGATTGTATCACATTACATCATGGAAGAGCAACCGGTCCAGTGTCTGCCAAACCACTGAGAATCATAGCCTAGCCAAGATGACACAGAACATTAACCATCACACACTGCCTACTTCTACACGCTGGCCTCTGTTTCCACAGGGCTTGTCTAGTGGATGCTGGGTCCAGGCTGTCACCAACTTAAAAAATGCCTGAGTCTATAGAGGAATCCTTATCAAAAGGGGAGAAATGCAGAACAAAATTTCAAATTCTCATGAAACCCAGACTTTCTGGATCCATGGAGGCTGGATGAACCCCTGAAACTATTGCCCTGAGATAATCTTTGAACCTTAAACCAAAAATATCTCCAGAAGTCCCCTTAAAACCAAAAAGTAGTATAGCTTAACCTGTTTAAGGTGTTAAAAGGCAAAGGAGTCACTCTAAGGACTAAGATGTGCCTGACCCAAGCCATGGAGTTTTCAGTTGCCTCATATGCATGCGAAAGCTGGGCAATGAATAAGGAAAACTGAAGAAGAATTGACGCCTTTGAATTATGGTGTCGGTGAAGAATATTGAATATACCATGGACTGCCAAAAGAACAAACGTATCTGTCTTGGAAGAAGTACAACCAGAATGCTCCTTAGAAGCAAGGATGGCGAGACTTCGTCTCACATACTTTGGACATATTATTAAGAGGGATCAGTCCCTGAAGAAGGACATCATGCTTGATGTCTTGGTCATCTAGTGCTGCTGTAACAGAAATACCACAAGTGGATGGCTTTAACAAAGAGAAATTTATTCTCTCACAGGCTAGTAGGTTACAAGTCCAAATTCAGGGCATCAGCTCCAGGGGAAGGCCTTCTCTTTCTCTGTCAGCTCTGAAGGGAGGTCCTTGTCATCAATCTTCCAATGGTCTAGGAGCTTCTCAGCACAGGAACCTCCGGTCCAAAGGGTGCGATCTGCTCCTGGCATTGCCTTCTTGGTGGTATGAGGTCTTCGTGTCTCTCTGCCCGCTTCTCTCTTTTATATCTCAAAAGCGATTGGCTTAAGACACTACCTAATCTTGTAGATCTCATCAATATAACTGCCACTAATCCATCTTATTACATCATAGCGATAGAATTTATAACATATAGGGAGTTCACATCAGATGATAAAATGGTAGACAATCATACAATACTGGGAATCATGACCTAGCCAAGTTGACAGATATTTTTGGGGGACACAATTTAATCCATGACACTTGGTAAAGTAGGAGGGTCAGTGAAAAAGAGGAAGACCCTCAACAAGATGGATTGACACAGTGGTTGCAACAATTGGCTCAAGTGTAACAATGATCATGAGGATGGCGCAGGACTGGGTAGTGTTTAGTTCTGTTGTACACAGGGTTGCTATGAGTTGGGACCAACTCGACGGCACCTAACAACAAGACGTAAAGAACGTCTGCCTTGAGCATTGTGCTCGTTTAATATCTATCTCTATGGGTTCAAATTGACAACAGCAACTCGAAAGATTAGATGGGAACCTTAGGGGGCAGGGAGTTTATGTTAATAGGGGAGGAACAATTCAGAAAAGGAGGGTGAGAACGGCTGCCCAACTGGAAAAACGTAATCAATGTCATGGAATTGTACATGTTGAAACTGTTGACTTGGTGTGTGTTCTGCTGTGTGTATTCTCAACAACAACAAAAGTAAAATAATTTTTACAAATGCCTGAGGATGGCAATATGGCGGCCCAAGGGGTAGGGGCCCAGGGTCAGATTACTCAATAAGCAAGGTACTCACAGGCTTAATTTTACTTACTAATCTGTAGTCACAATTTCACCTGTTTTTCACCAAATCTTTGATGATGTGAAATCCATGTGAAATTATGCACTACAGATTAGTAAGTAAACACAATTAAGCCCGTGTGTACCTTGCTTACTGTAAGCTTACTGGTTAATTTGCCCCTGGCTGTACCAACCTCTCTCCTTGGTGTATCTTGGCAGGTATGCTGGCCCCATGGAGCGTGCCGGGGCTGAGAACATCCTCACCAACCGCTCCGATGGAACCTTCTTGGTGCGGCAGAGGGTGAAGGACACGGCAGAATTTGCCATCAGCATTAAGTAACTTCTCCTTCCCTGACCCACCTCCCCTTATGACCTGGGCCTTGCAGGTGCTGGGAAGAAGGGAAGATGAAGCATTCAGTTTCTGCTTTATAAGCATTTACAGTTACGACAGTCACCATTTGTTGAGCTCTTGCTGGGTGCTGGGTGCTTTTACCTTCCTTATTTCTTGTAATAGGCCCAACAAACCAAGAGAAAGAGATATAACTCCTATGGAGGCTCAGTGAGGCTTGTAGCATACCCTAGGAAGAGGCAGGCACAATTTAAACCCAAGTCTCGCAGACTCTGGCTCCCATGCCCTTTCTGTTTATTGTGTGCTGGTTCCTTGTGGGTTTCTCAGTTTTTATGTTGTGATCTCAAGTGGGAACCTTTACCTTTGGGCATCTTATGCTACCTGTGTCTCCAGAGTGATTTCGCATTTGATTCTATTGAGATCACCAAGTCTACCCACTTTTTAGATTATTTTCTTGGCTTCCCAGACTACGCAGGTAGTTTTCGTACAAACCCCAAACCTGCATGAGTGCAGGTCCGAGGTTATGGATTCTCAACGGTGACTTTCTGTTTTGGTTCTGAGATAGACAAGCTTTCTTATTGTCCGCTCTTTGCTGGTGGGTAGAAATTTTCTAGCTCATCCCTTTTTCCTGAGGGTGTAGTTCTTTCACAACAAAGGGCATGGGCAGGTCTCAGTGCCAACTCTTCAGCATATATGGGCCCAGTAACTCATCTCATGTTTCCATGTGATCATCAAGACGTAAACTCCTTGGTTACGAAGATCAGCAAACCCCTTAGGACTGCCCAAGCATCAGTTCATGCTTACTGCTTGATTTTTCGTTTCATCTTCGTTTTTGGCCTCTGGGGATTTCTGTTACTCAGCATTTCTAGGGTTTTGTAGCAGAAGGATATTTTTGGTTATTTAGTCCACCATATTGGTGGGCATGGGTGTCTCCTCCTATGGCCTTTCTCGTCTGTGGTCCGCCATATTGGTGGGCATGGAGATCTCTTCCTGTGTATTCCAGAAGGCTGTCTTCTTTACAAGGTCATGTTGACATCTTAACAACCCTATGAGTCAGGGAAGATGATCCCTATTATACAGAGGACGAAATGAAGGTGTCAAGTAGCAAAGGCCTCAGGGGGGGATTTCTGTTGAGATAGCAGGGGGGAAGCTTCAGACTTTGGGTTCCCTGTAGAAGCCAGTATTGCTTCTTCCATGGCTGGGGGTGTGGCCTGGGACTTAGACTAGGCAGGGGATGGGCCCAGGCCCCTAGACTCAAAAACCCAGTGACCATCTAGCCCTCTTTGTCTGGTTTCAGGTATAATGTCGAGGTCAAGCACATTAAAATCATGACATCAGAAGGGCTGTATCGGATCACAGAGAAAAAGGCTTTCCGGGGGCTTACGGTAAGGGCCAATCTCCCCTGACACCTAGGTCCCAGGGCCCAAGTAGGGCTGCCCCTGGGGCTCCATCTTAGGAACCTCTTTCCCACATTCACAGCGGTCCCACTAAGAGCACTATGGAGCAATTGTCCTTATACTCTTTCCTTGAATGACCAACAACAACAGTAACAAAAATGAATAACAGTGGTGAGCATTTACAGAGCATTGATTGAGGGTCATACATGTTATAGACAGTACTCACCTTACCCTCTGAGTTCCATTTCACAGATGGGTCAAACTGAGGTTTAGCCCTCACCCAGTGTCACAGAATAGCAGAGCCCAGATTCTGCTGGACTTCAAGGCTTAGCTCTGCCTGATTTGTCTAATGGTCATTTCACTGAGAATTGAAATGGCTTTTGAGTGTTTTTGCTTCTGTTTGGTGTCCTGTAATTTTTGGCCATATTTTAGACATTTTAAGCCTAAGGTTTAGGTCTAAGGCAAGGGAGCCTCTGGGTAATGCAAATGGTTAAGCGCTGGGCTACTAACCAAAACATTGGCAGTTTGAACCTATCCAGAGGTGCCTCAGAAGAAAGACCTGGCAATCTGCTTCTGAAAGGTCACAGCCATGGAAACGCTATGGAGCACAGTTCTACTCTGAAGTATTTGGGGTTACGACGTGTTAGAATCAACTCCATGACAACTGGTTTGGTTTGGTTTAGCCCAAGGCAGGGCTTCTTACCCACATCCTGTGTATGCTCAAGGGGTTGAGTCCTCCAAAAGCAAAGCTAGAATTTTCTACATAGCTACATTTTTTGGGGGGAAATGTGTGTCTTAGATTTCACTTGATCCTCAGGGGGATCCCTAACTCCCCAAAACATTAAAGACTGTTAATTCATTCCACAAATCCTTTTCTCTCCCCAAATTTTTATTTATGAAATATTTCAGAAAAGTTGCTGGAATTGTGTAATAAACCTCTGTCAGCCTTTTACCTGGCTTTACTAATTGTAAATATTCTGCCTGTTTTGCTTTCTTTCTTTTTCTCTCTCTCTCTCCACACACACATGCACACACTCACATTCATACATTAATTTTGAACTATTTAAGTGTAAGTTGGAGATATCATGATCTTTCATCCTTAAATACTTCATCGAGAATATCCTAACAGCAAAGGCATTCTCTTACCTCACCACAGTATTATTATTATACTCAGGAAGCTTAAAAATAATTTATCTTATTTATTTTTGTGTTGAAAACATATGCAGCAGAACATACACCAATTCAACAATTTCTTCAAGTACAATTCAGTGATATTGATTACATTCTTCAAGTTGTGCAAACATTCTCATCCTCCTTTTCTGAATTGTTTCTCCCTCATTAACTCACTGCCCCCTAAGCTTCCTATCTGACCCTTTAAGTTGCTGTTGTCAATTTGATCCCGTATATAGTTCTTCAAAAGAGTACGATGTTCAAGGCGGACATCCTTTACTAATTAATTATTGTTTGGTTTAAAGAAGACTTCAGGAGATATTTTTTGGTTTAAGGTTTAAAGTTCATCTCAGGGTAATTGTTTTAGGAGTTCATTCAGCCTCCAGGGCTCCAGAAAGTCTGGATTCCATGAGGATTTGGAATTCTGTTCCACATTTTCTTCCCTTTGATCAGGATTCTTCTATAGAATCTTTGATCAAAATATTCACTCTCAGGAAGTTTCACATTGATGCAAAACTATTATCTAATATACAGTCCATATCCCAAACTTCCTGATTGTCCCAGTTATGTCCTTTGTAGTTTTTTTCCCCCCAAAACCTAATCAAGGATCATACATTGCATTTAGTTTTTATTTTCTTTGTCTCCTTTAGTTTACAATAGTTCCCCAGACCTTTTTTTGGCTTTCATGATATTAGCATTTTTGGCATCTAGAATTTCAAAACAGAAAACATTTTGTTTTGCAGAATGTCCCTTAATTTTGACTCACCTGATTGTTTACTCATTATTGTTGTTGTGAGGTGCCGTTGAGTCGGTTCCAACTCATAGCAACCGTATGTAAAACAGAACAAAACACTGCCCAGTCCTGTGCCATTCTCACAGTCATTGATGCTTGAGCCCGTCCTTGCTGCCACTGTGTCAATCCATCTTGTTGAGGACCTTCCTTTTTTTTGGCTGACCCTCTCCTTTACCAAGCATAATGTCCTTCTCCAGTGACTGGTCCCTTCTGCTAACATGTCCAAAGGATGTGAAACATAGTCTTGCCATCCTTGCTTCTAAGAAGCATTCTGGCTGTACTTCTTCCAAGACAGATTTGTTCATGCTTTTGGCAGTCCATGGTATATTCAATATTCTTCACCAACACCATAATTCAAAGGCATCAATTCTTCTCTGGTCTTCCTTACTCATTGTCCAGCTTTTGCATGCATACTCATTATTAGAATAAGCTTAAACATTTGTAGAAGAAATATTCATAAGGGCAACAAATCTGAGACTTGAACTCAGATCAGTCCTACTACAAAGGCCAACTCTTAGCTTCTATGCTGTTCTGCCTCCCCTGGGGTTGAAGCCAGGGACTGCCTCTTTTCAGCTGTGGGACCCTGGACAAGGGGCTTGACTTCTCTGTGCTTCATTTTCTCCGTTTGTAAAATGGGCGAATCATGAACTATTCACCCGTCAGGATTATTGGGAGATTTTGATGATGTCTGGTGTGTACACAGGCCAGAACTTCGCTGTTGTTTTAGTTCACTGCTGTTGAGTCGGCCCCTGACTCATGGTGACCCCATGCATAACGGAAGGAAACACTGCCCAGGCCTACGCCATCCCCAGGATCAGACCATTGTGATCCATGGGGCTTTCACTGGCTGATTTTCAGAAGTAGATCAGAAGTAGGCCTTTCTTCCTAGTCCATCTTAGTCTGGAAGCTCCACTGAAACCTGTTCAGCATCCTAGCAATATGCAAGCTTCTACTTATTATGGGTGATGGCTGTGTAATAGATGCATAATAAACAGCATTTGTGATTATTATTAATTTTCAAAATACGGCACTTGACACCCACAAAGGAGTTGAATTTGGTGAACTGATCATTCAGCAAATTGAGTATTTGGTAAATTTATCATGAACTGAATTGGCAACTAGGAGAACTGGTTTGAGGCAGGTGGTCTCATCCCCATAAAATCGTCCTGGCTGCTCAGAAAGGCAGTGAGCTCCCCATCATGGGGAGCATTCAAAGAGTCACCAGAGAGGCCAGAGACAGGCTTGCTGTAGGTGAGGAGTTAAGTATATGGAGTCTTCTCCCTGCTGTACCCCCCCGCCCCCACACCATGGACTGGCCCACTGGGACATCTGACATGCTGTCCCTCTTCCAGGAGCTGGTGGAGTTTTACCAGCAGAACTCCTTGAAGGATTGCTTCAAGTCGCTGGACACCACCTTGCAGTTCCCCTTTAAGGAGCCCGAGAGGAGAGCCATCAGCAAACCACCAGGTAGGAGGCCCCACTGTGGAGGGGGAGTTTGGGATGCTGTGGGCAGCTCTTTGGTCTGACAGTCGGAAGGCAAACTTGTGCAACAGCGGGAACTCTTCCCACTACTGCCCGGCCCTTGGCTCTGGATGGGTTTGCATATTCCTTTCCTTGTTGGAAGGTGGGACAAGGGTTACCTTTCTAGTTCCCAAGACGAGAACACTAGGAACCGAAAGGGGGCTCCACCTGAACATTTTAAGCACAGACACACACAGACGCACACATATGGAGCCCTGGTGGTGCAGTGGTTAAAGCGCTCAGCTGCTAACCAAAAGGTAGGTGGTTCGAACCCACCAGCCGCGCCACAAGAGAAAGATGTGGCAGTCTGCTTCTGAAAAGATTTACAGCCTTGGAAACCCTGCGGGGTAGTTCTACTCTGTCCTATAGGGTTGCTATGAGTCGGAATCGACTCAATGGCAATGGGTTTCTATATCATATATATATATAATATATAGGAACCCTGGTGGCACAGTGGTTAAGGCGCTAGACTGCTAACCAAAAGGTTAGTGGTTCAAAACCACCAGCAGCTCCAAGGGAGAAAGATGTGGCAGTTTGCTTCCATAGAGATTTACAGCCTCAGAAACCCTAGGGGTCGCTATAAGTTGGAATCAACTCGACGGCAGTGGGTTTGGTTTTTATATGTATATATGTATAATATATATGTATATGTATATATGTATACAAGTAAATATATGTATACATATATATGTATAATATATGTATATGTATATATGTATAATATATAGAGGATATATATATAATATATAAAAAACAAACACAAAAAAACCCCAAACTTGTTGCCTTTGAGTTGATTCAGACTTATAGCAACCCTATAGGACAGAGTAGAACTGCCCCATAGGGTTTCTATGGAGTGGCTGGTGGATTCAGACTGTTGACCTTTTGGTTAGCAGCTGAGCTCTTAACTACTGCACCACCAGGGTTCCTGTATAATAAAGATATAGAGATAGAAAAACGGATATACTGATATATAGATACAGATATATAAAACCAAACCCACTATATATAACCCACTGTAGGGCTCCTGTGTGTGTGTGTGTGTGTGTGCATGTGTGTGTGTGTATATATATGTATATAATCCCTGGGGGCACAAATTGTTAAGCGTTTGACTCATAACCGAAAGTTTGGTGGTTCAAACCCACTCAGAGGTGCCTTGTAAGAAAGACCTGGCAGTCTGCTTCCAAAAGGGCACAGCCTTGAAAACCCTGTGGAGCAGTTCTACTCTGCACTCATAGGGTCACTGTGAGTTAGAATTGACTTCAATATGAAGGATTAATCGGCATCTATAACCTTCTCCCATGATAAGGCAAGACCTTTAGCGCACTTTTACTTTCCCTTCCCCTTTTCCACTAGATTTGCTGAAATTATCTGGAATGTTGGATATAGTTTGCTATTAACTAAAACAATTATGATATATACTTTAAGAATCATTTCTTAACAATTTCATTTAACATCACAAATACAATCTCAACCATTATTTAGACTCCAACTAAATTTCTTGTTTTCTATGTTTTTCTCTATTTTTAATTCCTTATTCTGATTCATATTTCATTTTGCTAGAGTGCATTCTGGAGTAAGTTTTGCAGAAAAGCCACAAGGGTGGTACATAGTTTCTGAATTCTTATATGCCCAAAAATTTTTTTAAAAAGAAATTTAAAAATCAGTTATTGTTAAATATTATATTATTGAAAAGGCAGTATCAAAATCACATCAGGACTCCAAGAGAAAAATTGTTTCTCTTCTCATCACCCAATCAAATAAATATTTTCATCTCTTTCTGCCTGTTAATTATTTGTCCTTGTGTATATATGGACATTTGGTTTTAGTATATTTATAGAAATATTGCAAATTGGTTTTACATTCTACACTTTTACTTAATATTATACTACAAAACGTTTTCCATGTCTTTTTTTTCCTCCTTCTTATTTCCCCAATCCCTCTGCTTTTCAATGGTCTCAGGGTGGTGCAATTCGTTTGCGTTCAGCTGCTAATTTAAAGATTGGTGGTTCGAATGCACCCATTTGTGTTGTGGAAGAAAGGTCTGATAACATGCTTTTGTAAAGATTACAGCCATTAACACCCTAGGGAGCACAGTTCTACTCTGTAACACATGAGGTCACCATAAGTCAAAATCAACTCAATAGCAATGGGTTTGGTTTTTGGTTTTGTGCTCTCCAAGATAATATTAACAGCCTAGAATGAATTTTTCTACATTTTCTTCTTGTTCCTTTTTATATAAATATGTAAAACCACTACAAAATTCATAAATGGCTTTATTTTCTAAGTCTGGATGCTGGCTTGGCACAGTTGTGTGCCCTTGGAACACATGGCCCCCAACACTTGGCACAAAGGAACAATGAGGGACTCTTCATCCTGGAGTTCCCCTTCTGAGAACACTGCCCCCAGAGGGTGGGTGTCTCCCAGAAGCCTTTTCCCCACTTCTGTTCTCTCTTCTACAGCTGGAAGCATCAAGTATTTTGGCACAGCCAAGGCCCGCTATGACTTCTGTGCTCGGGACCGGTCGGAGCTGTCCCTCAAGGAGGGCGACATCATCAAGATCCTTAACAAGAAGGGACAGCAAGGCTGGTGGCGAGGGGAGATCTATGGCCGGGTGAGGCAGGGCAGGGCTGGGAATCCCAGGAAAGGCTGTGGGGGTGACCTGGGATTGTGGAATGGAGAAGTGGGGATTGACCTGCATGGAAGTTTTTCATCCCCTTCCATTTATCCATTCATCCACCTATCCGTCCATCCATTCATCCATCCCATCCATCCATCCATCCTTCTGTCCGTCCATCCATCCATCCATTGGAGGGGACAAAGGGACCCAAATATTTCATTCATTTATTCAACCTGCATTTATTGAGCATCTAGTATGTCCAACAATTATGAAGATGATGTAGAATCGGACAATGTTTCCTTCCGCTATACATAAGGTTGCCATGAGCTGGAGCTCACTTGATGGCAATCAAAAACAACAACACTATGTGTCAGGCATTCTGCTGGGCATTGAGGAGACAGAAATGAGACAATATAGTCACTGCCCTCATGGAACTCAGTTGAGTGAGGAGGATAGACCAAGAAGTTACAGCACAGTGTGGTTGGGATTGTGATGGGGAGGCACAGGGCAGTGTGGGAGCCCTCAGGCAAACCCCTGACCCATTTGGGAGAGAGTCAGGTTGCCTTCTGAGAGGCCAATCTGATAGCTGAGGGATGAGTAAAGTTATCCAGGTAAAAAGACCAGAGAGGGGGCGGGGGAAGCTGTTCCAGGCAGAGGGACCAGCGTGTCCAAAGGCTTGGAGATGAGAGAGTGATTGGCGTGTTTGGGAACACGAAGGCAAGGACTGGTGTCTGTCTTGTTCACTGAGGCATCACCATTGCCTGCAACAGTGTCTGGCAGGTGGTAGGTGCTCATTAAATATCAAATGCATGATGAGAAAGAGCTGAGGCTAACCACTGTACTCTCTTGCCTCCCTGAATTCTGACTATTAGGAATGGAAGGAACCTCAAGGTTCCCCACAAGCTTGTTTCTGCCTAGTTCTTATTTTTGCTCCACAAAGATGGAGAACCTCTTTTGTTTCATCCTCTGCTGTATTCCCAGCCTCTCGAATACTGTATTGGTGGTAATAGTGTCACAAAAATATGTACTGAATGAAGACAAGGACACTGGTTAAGAGCTTACATTCTACTGGGGGAAGAAAATGTGAAAAAATGACCTGGATAATTGTTTACAATAACAGTTTTGTTAAGAACTGTGGAGGGTGAGTTTAGTGTGCAGTGGAGGACATTTAGGGTTTGAGAGAGCCTTTGGGATGGGGTGTTTCAGAAGGTCTGGGCTGTAAAGGATTGCTCCATCCATTCATCCATTAACTCATTCATCCATCCATCAACTCATCCATCCATCCATCCGTCCATCCATCCATCCATCCATTAACTAATCCATCCATCCATCCATCCACCCAGCCATCATCCATCCATCCATCCATCCATCCATGCATCCACCCTTTAACTCACCCATCCATCCAACAAGTATTTATTAAATATCTACTATGTGCCAGGGTGGTGCGTGGTTAAGCGCTTGGCTCCTAACTGAAAAGTCGGTGGTTTGAACCCACCAGCTGCTCCATGGGAGAAAGATGTGTCAGTCTGCTTCTGTAAGGATTACAGCCTTGGAAACCCTATGGGGCAGTTCTACTCTGTCCTGTAGCGTTGCTATGAGTTGGAATCAACTTGACTGCAATGGGTTTGGTTTTTTTACTGTGTGCCAGGCACTGCTCTAGGCTCTTGGGACTCAGTGGTGAATAAGACAGGCAAAACTCCCTGCCCTTGTGGAAGTCATGGTGTAGTGTGCAGACAGACAACAAACATAATAATAGGTAAATATATAATCAGTCAGATGGTGATAAATACTATGGAAGAAATTAAAGGAGGAAAAGGGAATAAGGAGCGTCGGGTTGGGTGGGGCTTGGAATTTTAATCAGGGTGGTTGGGAAGTCCTTACTAATAAGATGCTGTATGAGTAGAGATGTGTAGGAGGTGAGGGGGTCAGATGTGTTGTGTATTTAAGGGTGGACGTTCTTGGCAGAAGGAACAGCAGGTGCAAAGGCCCTGAGGTGGGAGCCTGACTGGTGTGTCAAGGAACAGCAGGAGATGTGTGCAGAGGCTTCCCTGACCATTTCTTCGTCTTTTCCCAGATTGGCTGGTTCCCCTCCAACTATGTGGAGGAAGATTATTCTGAATACTGCTGAGCCCTGGCGCACTGGCAGAGAGACGAGAGACTCCAGGTTCTGAGCCCAGGATGGGCAGGTCAGGGGCTATGACAGTCCCCGCAGGCCGAGAGCCTGGGACGGACTGTGAAAGGCCAGGGTCCAGCTGGCCAGACTCCCGGAGCCTCGGTTAATTTATAACACACTGGTGTCCTCTTGGGTCCCTCAACAAGATGGGGTGCAAGGAAACCACTCTTAATAAAGTGATGAATGGATGGGATAGTGTCATTCAGAAGGACCCAGAAGGGGAGACAAGGGGAAAGGGACTGGGGCACAGACAGAACCCACTCACCAACCCTACCTCTCATCTTTATCACCTTTCCCTGCCATTTACAATAACACCCAAAGGTGGAAATAGAATCTCATGTAGCAGAAAAGAATTTCACACTCACAGATTCAGGATTACAACAACTCTCTGTTTGTTTTTTCTATAACAGAACTTAATTACTATTTTCACACCCCCTCCACCAATCCTTGCCCATGAGTGACCAACCCACCCGGTGGCACCCTGGAAGAAAGGCCTGGAGATCTGCTTCCATAAAGATCATTGTTTTTAGTTGTCATCAAGTTGATTCCGACTCACAGTGACCCCAAGTATGCAGAGCAGAACTCTTCCATAGGGTTTTCAAGGCTGTGATCTTTTGAAAGCAGATTGCAGACCTTACTTCTGTGGCACCTGTGGGTGGGTTTGAACTGGACTATTTTGGTTGATAGTCTGGTGCTTAACCGTTTCTGCCACCCAGGGACCCTGTGAAGATATCAGCCAAGAAAACCCCTGTGGAGCAGTTCTACTCTGTAACACACGGAATCGCCATGAGTTGAAATGGACTCGACAGCAATGGGCTTTTAGTCTGGCTGAGTGGTAGAAACTTTATCTCAGTTGAGTTGGGGGTCTCTTCATTCAGTTTTCCCCAAGATCATATTTAAATTCCAGAGGTCTTGGCACGGATGTTGGGGAGACAGCTGGTCCTTGGTTGTTATGATCTGTCACACTTTCACCTGCTGCGATGTGATTGCTTCTGCTTGGCGATTGTTCCCTCCACCCCATCCACGTCCCTCATGCAAGACATCTGACTATGTTCTCTTAAATGCTGCGTCATGTGAGTGGGAAGGCTGGACACCCTAGTCTGTCTGGGGTGGTCCTGGCGGCTATAGTTATTAATGATTCTTTTCATGCTCCAAAGTGTCCTTATTTGAATCATGAATTATATGGCCACTGTATTAGGTTGGTGTCTTGGTTTCCATAACAAGATACCACAGTGGGTGGCTTTAAAGAACAGTTCATTTTCTCACAGGACTCCCTGGGTGGTACAAATGGCTAATGCGCTCAGCTGCTAAATAAAAGGTCGGCAGTTCGAGTCCACCCAGCGGCATCTCAGAAGAAACGCCTGGTGGTCTACTTCCAAAAGGTCATAACTTTGAAAACCCCATGGAGCACAGTTCTACTCTGACACACGTGGGGTTGCCGTGAGTTGGAATCGACCCAACGACAACTGGTTTTTTGTTTTTTTATTTTCTCAGGATTCTAGAGGCTAGAAGTCCAAATCAGGGTATCAGTCATGTTGATTCCTTCCATTCCTCCTGTTATGGATTGAAGTGTGTCCCCCAAGAGATATGTTGAAGTCCCAACCCCTGTACCTGTGAATGTGACCCTGTTTGGGGAAATAGGGCTTTTCTTTGCAGGTGTAAGCAGTTCAGTTAACGAGATCATGGCTCCTAATCCTGTTTGACTAGTGTCTTATAAAATGAGAGGACAGACATGGAAACAGTCGCACACTGGGGAAGACACCGCGTGAGGATGCGTCTACAAGCAAAGGAACGCCAAGGATCAACTCAGCCTTTCCTATCCAACTCTTCTCCACTTTGCAGAACCTGCTGTATTTTGGTGCAGGAACAGCTGGCTCAGACAGATAAATATTCTTCCACCTCATTATTCGTGGATTCCGTATTTGCAAGTTTGCCAACTCCCTAACATTTATTCGTAACCCCCAAATCAATACTTGCCGCGTTTTGCAGTCATTTACAGACATGTGCATGCTAGGAGAAGCGAGGAGAGAGAAATTTCAACTCAAAGTAACCCTATAGGACGGAGTAGAACGGCCCCACTGGGTTTCCAAGGCTGTAAATCTTTTTTTTCCAACTTTTTTTTTCATTATGCTTTAGGTGAAAGTTTACAGCTCAAGTTAATTTCTCATACAAAAATTTATACACATATTGTTATGTGACGTTTGTTGCAGTCCCTATAATGTGACAGCACACTCCCCTTTTCCACCCCGCGTTTCCCATGTCCATCCAACCAGTTCCTGTCCCTTCCTGCCTTCCCATCCTGCCTCCAGACAGGAGCCACCCATTTAGTCTCGTGTGTCATCTGCTTGAACTAAGAAGCACTCTCTTCAGGAGTATTATTTTATGTTTTGTAGTCCAATCTAATCTTTGAAGAGTGGGCTTCAGGAATAATTTTAGTTCTGGGTTAACAGAGTGTCTGGGGGCCATGGCTTCGGGCAATCCTCCAGTCTCAGTCAGACCATTAAGTCTGGTCATTATACGTGAATTTGAGTTCTGCTCTACACTTTCCTCCCGCTCTGTCAGGGACTCTCTGTTGTGTTCCCTGTAAGGGTGGTCATTGGTGGTAGCGGGGCATCATCTAGTTCTTCTGGTCTCAGGAAGATGCAGTCTCTGGTTTCTGTGGCCCTTTTGTCTCTTGGGCTAATATTTTAGTTATGTCTTTGGTGTTCTTCGTTCTCTTTTGCTCAAAGTGGGTTGGGACCAATTGATGCATCATAGATGGCCACTCGCAAGCTTTTAAGACCCCAGATGCCACTCACCAAGGTGGGATGCAGAACATTTTCTTAATAAACTTTGTTATGCCAATTGACCTATATGTCCCCTGAAACCATGGTCCCCAGACCGCCACCCCTGCTACTCAGTCCCTTGAAGTGTTTAGTTGTGTTCAGAAAACTTCTTAGCTTTTGGTTTAGTCCAGTTGTGCTGACTTCCCGTGTATTGTGTGTTGTCCTTCCTTTCACCTAAGATAATTCTTGTCTACTATCTAGGTAGTGAATAACCCTCACCCTCCCTCCCCACCCTTGTAAACATTGAAGACTGCTTTCTTCTGTGTTTAAACCTCTTCTTGAGTTCTTATAATAATAGTGGTCTCATACAATATTTGTCCTTTTGCAACTGACTAATTTCACTCAGCATAATGCCCTCCAGATTCATCCATGTTGTGAGATCTTTCGCAGATTCATCATTGTTCTTAATCATTTTGTAGTATTCCATTGTGGGTATATATCATAATTTGTTTATCCATTCATCTGTTGATGGGCACCTAGGTTGTTTCTATCTTTTTGCTATTGTGAACAGTGCTGCATTGAACATGGGTGTGTATATATCTGTGTGACGGCTCTTATTTCTAGGATATATGCCAAGGAGTGGGATTGCTAGATCGTATGGTACTTCTATTTCTAGCTTTTTAAGGAAGCGCCAAATCATTTTCCAAAGTGGTTGTACCATTTTACATTCCCACCAGCAGTGTATAAGTGTTCCAGTCTCTCCACAACCTCTCCAACATTTATTATTGCGTTTTTTGGTTAGTGCCAGCCTTAGTGGGGTGAGATGGTATCTCATTGTAGTTTTGATTTGCATTTCTCTGATGGCTAATGATCGTGAGCATTTCCTCAGGTATCTGTTAGCCGTCTGAATGTCTTCTTTGGTGAAGTGCCTGTTCATATCCTTTGCCCATTTTTTAATTGAGTTATTTGTGTTTTTGTTGTTGAGGTTTTGCAGTATCTTGTACATTTTAGAGATTAGACCCTTATCAGATATGTTGTAGCTAAAAATTTTTCCCCAGTCTGTAGGTTGTCTTTTTACTCTTTTGGTGAAGTCTTTTGATGAGCATTAAGTGTTTGATTTTTAGGAGCACCGAATTATCTAGTTTCTCTTCTGTTGTTTGCGTATTGTTAGATTATGGTTTGTATTCTGTTTATGCCATGTATTAGGGCTCCCAGCTTTGTCCCTGTTTTTTCTTTCATGATCTTTATCATTTTAGATTTTATATTTAGATCTTTGATCCATTTTGAGTTTGTTTTTGTGCATGGTGTGAGGTATGGGTCTTGTTTCAGTTTTTTGCAGATGGATGTCCAGTTATGCCAGCACCATTTGTTAAAGAGACTGTCTTTTCCCTAATTAACAGACTTTGGGCCTTTGTCATCTATCAGCTGCTCATAGGTGGATGAATTTATGTCTGGATTCTCAATTCTGTTCCATTGATCTATGCGTCTGTTGTTGTACCAGTGCCAGGCTGTTTTGACTACCGTGGCGGTATAATAGGTTCTAAAATCAGGTAGTGTGAGGCCTCCCACTTTGTTCTCCTTCTTCAGTAATGCTTTACCAGGTCCTTAACCCTTTCTATGTGAAGTTGGTGATTTGTTTCACCATCTCATTAAAAAATGTCATTAGAATTTGGATCAGGATTGCGTTGCACCTGTAGACTGCTTTGGGTACAATTGCCATTTTCACAATGTTGAGTCTTCCTATCCATGAGCATGACATGTTTTTCCACTTATGTGGGTCTCTTTTGGTTTCTTGCAGTAGTGTCTTGTAGTTTTCTTTGTACAGGTCTTTTAGGTCTGTGGTTTGGTTTATCCCTAAGTATTTTATCTTCTTGGGGCTATTGTAAATGGTATTGATTTGGTGATTTCCTCTTCGAAGTTCTCTTTGTTGGTGTAGAGGAATCCAACTGATTTTTGTATGTTTATCTTGTATCCTGATACTTTGCTGAAATCTTCTATTAGTTCCAGTAGTTTTCCTATGGATTCTTTGGGGTTTCCTGTGTAGAAGATCATATCATCTGTGAATAGGGATACTTTTACTTCTTCCTTACCAGTTTGGATACTCTTTATTTCTTTTTCTGCCCAAGGCTGTAAATCTTTATGGAAGCAGATCACCAAGTCTTTCTCCTGTGTAACCACTGGTGGGTTCGAACTGCCAACCTTTACGTTAGCAGCCAAGCGCTTAACCACTGCACTGCCAGGGCTCTTTTATATATATATATATATATTTTTTTTTTTTATTGTACTTTAGATGAATGTTTACAGAACAAATAGTTTCTCATTAAACAGTCAG